ACTATAATATGATGTTTTGATGCATCAAAGTTAAAGTCAGCATATATGTACAGTATGATGTGCCAAATTCTTTTTGTAAGTACGCCTGATGGATAAGACAAAAAGTTAGAAATAATGGTTGTTTTCATACTTTCATTCTTGCCATATTGAAGATTGCAATTTCAAAACTGTTTCAGTGCATTAATTTGACACAGTTTAAGTTTGAATAGATACCCTTTGAAAAGAAAAAGATCAATTTGATGATTGCCTAAAGAGTTTGGCACCAAAATTATCTTTTCCTTGCTGAAAAAAGGATATTTGATTCAAAATGTCTGCCTTGCTTCTGCAAGAATTATTTTAAGTTGTTTTGCTGATTTGAATCGAGGCACCTAGACAATGCTTCAACACCAGTGTTGTAACCATCAGCAGATCACAATAGAGCAGGGGATGAACTGTTGACTTAAGGTGTAGGTTTACAAATCTTTTTATTGATTAGTATTGATATTTGCATGGCTGGTTAAATAAAGTGTAGATAATATCATTTGTATCTGAAATGAAGTACAGGGAATAGATTTTGAATTTTGAGTAGTTTTATTGAGAAGTAATTGGCATTAATTAACATTAAATTTTCTTTTCTTTTTTATTGGTCATGATAAAGTGAAAAACATGTTTTCACTATTTTTCCAAGTCCCTCAGATGTTCATGTAAGAGCTAATCGTAATTCAGCACTGGGCAGTCAGTAAGCCACTTGCTGGATGTCCAATGCAAATTAGGTTTATGGTCAGTGAGCAAGCTACCGACTTATCGACAGTTTTATTTAGTCAAGCAGAAAACCTCTTGGATGCCACTGGTGCATTTCTGTAAAAGGACTGATGTTGTAACTTTATTGATCTATGGAGACCTAAAGGGGAGAGAAAGATGAAGAGAAGTGCAGAGAAGGGGTTGTGTATTTCTGATTCACATCAACTGAGGGATGTCAATATTTTTTTTAAATGTCAGCTTTTTAAAATCATGTTTGGGTTTTTGACTAATGTACGTGTGACAAGTACAGAATCAAAGTGTTGTACATAATTAACTTAGTGAGAATATATTGTTTGACTTAACAGACTGATGCCACATGCATTTATTCTGATATTTTAATAGACATGTTGGAGCATTTGAGACTTGATGACTTAGGGTGCATTCCCATAGATTTTAGATCGATCTATCCACGTGGGGAGTCTCACTAGATTACTGTCAGATAATCCGGTTTAAATGTCCGTCCCGCCTACTACAAGCTGTAGGGGGGTAATTAACTTTTGTGCCCGTTCAGCTGACAGCTATTTAGCGTGAACCCCCAGGGAGTTAGGTCGATCTAGTTGGATCGATCTAATCTCTGGGAATGGGGTCTTAGTTTTTGTTTCATACAAAGCTTAAGTCATATTTACTGTTACCTTTCATATGTGACAGTTGAGTTTTGACATCATTGACAAAATGCACATGGCTTCTTATTTTGATAAATAATTTTAAAAAATCAAACTAAACAGATAATGATATAGATAATTTAATGACACTATATCTCAAAAGCCTAGTTGCATCAATTAGAAAAATAGCAAAAAAATATATTCTAGGAAAGTGACTGAGCATATTTTAACAGTCATTCTTAATACATGAACTCAAAGGGAAAAAAAAAAGCACAACTTGTGTTAGTTTAGCACATATTGAATAATGCTTTAGAGTGTGTTTGTGCATTTAGTCACCAACAGGTCCCATTTATTGAGTTTTTCAAGTGAATCACATATGAACGGAATAGCAGCACTAGATCTGTATAAAGCTAGAAAAATCAATTCCGTTTGTCACTTAAGCGAGCCAACATGTGTTTGAACACACGTCTCTGACAGCTAGGTGGCCTCTTCGTTTGACATTGAGTGAGAGAGACCAGTTAGGTAACATTGGTGCTACTGTACACAAACAAAGTTGGTTTAGGATGGAATTTTTTCTCAAAGATGTGTATTATGTGGTATAAAATGTTAATTTTTCGTAAAGAGTTTGTCATTGTTAGGTTTGAATATTATGAAGAACAGCTTTGACCTGTCTATTTTAATATTATAGCTGTATTTGCTTATTTATAAGGACACTTCTATATGCATGTCCACATTTTGTATCAGGTTGATGGCTTGATTGTGTGTAGAGTTTTTAGAAATAATCTTAAATCATCAAGATTTAAACATTTTCTGAAGAAGTAGTATGTCATTAAGAAAACGCTATTGTTAAGAGCTTGTCAATGATTTTATGGTAGAAAAAAGAAGTAAGAAATTCATCAGGAAACGGAAGATTTATTGAGGGTAAATCATTAAGGTTATCATACGATAAGAAGGTGAGTATATGTGATATTTCAAGCAGAGTCAACAGTGTTAGTGATTGAATATGGCCTTGTTCTGTAAGTATTGTTAACGGATTGATTTTCTTTTTTCCCTACGTATAGGTGGGCAGTATTTTGTTCTTCTCCTTCTGTAAAATTGTATTTGTTAATAACCTATCAGCTTTTGTTAAATGACAATTGGTTATTGTTACTGATCTGCAACCCACAGGACAGGCTTTAATATCCTGTTTTTTTTAATGAATTTGTCATTTGAAAGAAATGATGTGTACAATTGTACTGAATGTTCATGGTTAAGTTACTGAGCCACAACTGTAGGGATCTGACGATGGAAATTACTTGGTTAGTTGGGTAATTTAAGGCAGTGTATTAACAGACATGAGCTTTTTCCATGGAAACGTGGAATTCCACGCTTTTTATTCAATTCTGATGGGCGGCCCTCGGACCCCCGGCTGGTTAGGTGTTGGGTCCCATGATAAATGTTCAGAGTTTTTTTTTTTTTTTTTTTTTGAAACCTAGGCTCCTGTATGTATTAAGAATATTACAATTATAATGAGAGTGTATATATTTTTTTTCTTTTCTGTTTTAGAGGTTGTGAATTTACCTGAAATACTCCAATGTAAATTATGTTGAATAAAATTTGTCACAAAAAGAATGTTTGGGGGCATCCAAGTGATCAAGGGGGGTTTAAGAAACATTTATAGATGCTTAATTGATGTATAACATGTGGGATGAAACTGACAGGGGTGCTTTTTTGTATTAATTAACAATACTCAGTGGGAAGTTTGTCAGAAATACTCTTTTTCAGAGAGATAATTGGTGGGACTGTAATATGTCATAAAAATCAATTTTATGATAACATCACTTTCATTTTATCCGAAAAAATGAAGACCAGCATTACTGAACAAGTGGCAGTTTCAAATCGATTGTTCATATCTTGAAAGAAAATGATCTTCTTTTATCAAACCTTGGGCATCAGTCATGTCACATATTATTAATCAAATATTCATCAGGATACTGAGGCTTTGGTTATTTGAACAGTAAAAATCACATTTTTATTAGGTTTTAGTGGGCTCATAAATTTGATATATCACATACCATCCATGGGCAGTAGGCACTTTTATATATATTCTAAATTAACAACAATATTTATGTATTCTTGTTACAAAATGTGTTGTTTAGATAATGTTTTGACATCCTGGTAACCACCATTTTTTGGTTGGTTAGAAGGTTCTGTTTGTATTGGCTAAAGATGATCTGCTCTATCTGACACTTCTGAATTTATTTCATTTTGTTCTATTTTAGGCTGAGAGCAGGATTCCCACAACTGATCGAGAAAAGAGGAAATCTTTTCTACCCCAGCCTAAGACGTTCACCAAAGTTTCGTCATCAAGCTCTCAGCCATCACCACAACAACAGGGGGAGACACCATCAGTACCCCAGAACCAACAGAGGGAATCACCCACACCCCCCACTGTGGCGGAGTCAAACGTAAAACCCCCACAAGACAATGACTCTGTCATTTCGTCAGCACCGACCCTGGATTTGAAGGTCGGAGACTATGTTTGTATCAGTGGGAAGAAGTGTGGTGTGTTAAGGTATTATGGCAGAACGCACTTCGTGGATGGCACATTCTGTGGGATTGAGTTGAATGAGCCTGAAGGGAAACACGATGGTGAAGTAGGAGGGGTGCGATACTTCACTTGTCGTCCCATGCATGGTATCTTTGCACCACGCAGCAAGGTCTCAGCATTACCATCTGAAACCCAGTCAGTAACTGATTCTTCTTCAGAAACTGCACAACCACAAACGGAGACAGAGGTAAGACCATCAGATGGTGTCGAAAGCACAGAAGAAACGCCCCTGCCTTCAAGGTCAAGGCTGATCAAGCCACGGAGCATTCCCAAAGGGATCTATCAAGGGAAACGCTCACACTCTCAGTCACCAGATTCTGAACAGGTCTCTCTAAGGAGACCAGAGGTCAGTGAGATCGCTGTTGCAGACACAGAATCTGGGGAGGATACAACAGACAGTGAGGCACCCGCGTCAACTACAGAGCCTGGCAAAAAGAGCAAGTTTCAATCTCGACTGGCCAAACCTAAAACTAGATTGCCAGTTTCAGGAATTCCCCAAAAATCAAGTTCTCCACATCAGTCTCGGGATTCATCGCAGGAAAGAGAGAAATCGGTAGTCGGTAAAGAATCTGAGAAGACATCTCAGCCCAATGTAGCAACAACACAATCCAAACTCCCACAACGTAAATTATTTGGAACAAAGAGCTTTTTGAATCAAACCTATTCCTGTGAGGAGTCATCTATCTCTGACCATTCAGTAGTGGAAGTGGACACTGGTCGACAACCTGTAACTGACCAGACATTCAATAAAGATAGCCCATTATTGTCAGGGACCGTATCTACCAAGGAACAAGAATCACCATGTTTAATCACAGACATCAAAAATGTTACAGTAGACATAAATAATTCCAATAGTCACAGGGAAACACAGATCACAACGCTGGATAAAACCTATGAAAAACTTACCTTTGACACCAAACTTCACTCTCAGGGCTCTGAATCAGATACACATGTTCCAGATTTGAGTTCCATTTTGGTGGCTGCGGTGGGATCAGAACAAACCACAGAGACAGCTGGTGGGGAACATAGAAAACTTCCCGGAGAATTGAACCTAACTTATGATACTGGTTCTGTGCAGCTAGCCTCCCCCATTCCTGATCTCCTGACCCCATCAGCTTATATGGCTGCTGCTGGATCTGATACTGAACAAGAAGGTAGGCTTTTTGTTATACATTATCATATATTAGACTCACTATGAACTGTTCAAATTTCATCAGCTCTGTTAAAAATAAAAAAGGAAAAATATAGAACTTAAAAAAAAAAAAATTGCCGGTAATCACTGCATGTCCAAAATGCTAAAAAAAAATTAGTAGACACTTAAGCAATTATAAGCAGTATATAGCAGCAGAAGTAAAGCCCTAGCTGTAAGGGACATTAACTTAAATGCAAACTGCTATCTGTCCAAAAGAAAAACTTTAATTTTATCAAGGTGAACTGTTGTCAAAATGATTTGATATGAATGTGTGAATTATACTTCCTATTATTTTATATCTTCAATGATATTGATATTGGAATGTTTAAAACACTGCAAATAGTTACAACTTAGCATGTTAAGAAGTTCATGTTTTTTTTTTTTTTTTTTTTTAAACTTACTGCAAAACACAAAGTCATTCCCAATAATGCTCCTTTGGACCGCTTAGTAAACATTGTACTACCAAGTGAATGTGACATTTTTAACCTGCTGCAGGAGAATGAGATGTGTAAGAAAAGGTTCTTGTTTGTAATCAGACCACAGTTTATCGTTCTGTGCAATCCACTTCTTTTTAAAAGCATTTCTGGACAATTGATAAAATGGTGTTTTCTACTGCTACTTTTCAATGCATTGTTTATCATGTTGCTAGGTGAATGAATATTGTTGTTGTAAAATGCACAAGTGGCCACAAATGTTACAAAATTTATTGAATAAGTAAAATTGCAAAAAGGCACGTTCTGCTGCCTGTCCCATAACTGAATATAGTTAATACCAAGTTATTATCACTTAAAATATTTTTAGTGCCACATTGATTCACGAGAAGAAGCAAGGCTGAAAAGGTGCTTCTGTTTTATTATGTTTGGGATCAAGTTAAGAAAAAAACTCTGGAATAATTCCAACAGTAGCTGTAGAATGTCAGTAGGTTTACTGTGTAAACAAAGTGGTAACAGGCTGATACCCCAGTTGTACACGTATGCACTTCCAAACCAGTGGAACACATTGTCGGTATTTTGCACAACTTCAATGGTGAGCTAACACTGTTACCAGGATGAAAACATACCTTGATGTGTGTGGAAAAATCAGAAAGCAGAATCCAGTTGTGTGTGCATGCCACTTGTTTTATTTTCTTGAAGAAAAAACACATTAGAATTTGATCTCAAAACCAATTTCATTTGCCACCTGTGTTTCTATCTGCAGACTGAAGAGGTTCAGAAAGTACAATCCACCGACTTGGTCCTCTGTTTTTTAAAACACGACACAAGCAATTCTTAAATTAATAAGTATTTTTCTTCTACGTCCACAGGTCCAGCAGGTTCAGATGACCCAAGTGGCCTGAGTGTACTGAAGGGGTCAAGGCTGAAATCGGGCAGTTCTGAGGGCACAGCATCTACCTTGGACAACAGTCTGCAGTTCCTGAAGGGGTCCAGGTTGTTGACAGAAGAGTCTCAGTTGGGTATATTGAAGACTGATGAACTGAACCAGACCAATCTGCTTGCAGGTGGTCAACAGCCGCAAGAAGATGGTCATACAGAGGGGCAAACTGGTAAGAAAAATTTTTTTTTTTATTACCAATTCAATAGTCAAGGTGAGTGCATTTGTGTTTGAGTTAAAGTTTCGACAGATCCAGTTGGTAAGTGTGCCTAATTATTCCTTTGAGCAGAAGTCTTAAAAAACCAACACACTGTGGCTACATGATCAACTTGCTAACTGGTGAAAAAGTTCAGTTCGGTTTTTATCTGATTTGAAGCTGGTGAGGGGGTGAACTTTTGCCAGTAAGATTCAGTAATATATCAGGTTAAAGTCACAAGAGCTTTGTAAGATAGAGGTACAAACAGGTGGGTTATATTATTACAGTAGTGATTTACAGGTGTTTACAGTCAGTTTGCACTCATTATAACATCGGTGTATGATTTAACTCTCTTTTGATGTACAGCAAAATTTGTCTTCGAACCCTTGATCCCCAGGGTACATATTCCCAGGTTCTTTAACATAAGGATTAAAGATCCCCAGTAGTATTTTTTTCATCTGATGATTTATTGATGACTTAATTAGTAAGATAAAGATTGATGTTGCCTTAAAGCGTGTGCAAATTAAGATACTATGGTTATGAACAATTATTGTGATCCTGCATTCTGCAGCTGGGTATACTCATTCTTTGNTGTTTTTTTTTTTTGAAACCTAGGCTCCTGTATGTATTAAGAACATTACAATTATAATGAGAGTGTATATATTTTTTTTCTTTTCTGTTTTAGAGGTTGTGAATTTACCTGAAATACTCCAATGTAAATTATGTTGAATAAAATTTGTCACAAAAAGAATGTTTGGGGGCATCCAAGTGATCAAGGGGGGTTTAAGAAACATTTATAGGTGCTTAATTGATGTGTAACATGTGGGATGAAACTGACAGGGGTGCTTTTTTGTATTAATTAACAATACTCAGTGGGAAGTTTGTCAGAAATACTCTTTTTCAGAGAGATAATTGGTGGGACTGTGATATGTCATTAAAATCAATTTTATGATAACATCACTTTCATTTTATCCGAAAAAATGAAGACCAGCATTACAGAACAAGTGGCAGTTTCAAATCGATTGTTCATATCTTGAAAGAAAATGATCTTCTTTTATCAAACCTTGGGCATCAGTCATGTCACATATTATTAATCAAATATTCATCAGGATACTGAGGCTTTGGTTATTTGAACAGTAAAAATCACATTTTTATTAGGTTTTAGTGGGCTCATAAATTTGATATATCACATACCATCCATGGGCAGTAGGCACTTTTATATATATTCTAAATTAACAACAAAATTTATGTATTCTTGTTACAAAATGTGTTGTTTAGATAATGTTTTGACATCCTGGTAACCACCATTTTTTGGTTGGTTAGAAGGTTCTGTTTGTATTAGCTAAAGATGATCAGCTCTATCTGACACTTCTGAATTTATTTCATTTTGTTCTATTTTAGGCTGAGAGCAGGATTCCCACAACTGATCGAGAAAAGAGGAAATCTTTTCTACCCCAGCCTAAGACGTTCACCAAAGTTTCGTCATCAAGCTCTCAGCCATCACCACAACAACAGGGGGAGACACCATCAGTACCCCAGAACCAACAGAGGGAATCACCCACACCCCCCACTGTGGCGGAGTCAAACGTAAAACCCCCACAAGAAAATGACTCTGTCATTTCGTCAGCACCGACCCTGGATTTGAAGGTCGGAGACTATGTTTGTATCAGTGGGAAGAAGAGTGGTGTGTTAAGGTATTATGGCAGAACGCACTTCGTGGATGGCACATTCTGTGGGATTGAGTTGAATGAGCCTGAAGGGAAACACGATGGTGAAGTAGGAGGGGTGCGATACTTCACTTGTCGTCCCATGCATGGTATCTTTGCACCACGAAGCAAGGTCTCAGCATTACCATCTGAAACCCAGTCAGTAACTGATTCTTCTTCAGAAACTGCACAACCACAAACGGAGACAGAGGTAAGACCATCAGATGGTGTCGAAAGCACAGAAGAAACGCCCCTGCCTTCAAGGTCAAGGCTGATCAAGCCACGGAGCATTCCCAAAGGGATCTATCAAGGGAAACGCTCACACTCTCAGTCACCAGATTCTGAACAGGTCTCTCTAAGGAGACCAGAGGTCAGTGAGATCGCTGTTGCAGACACAGAATCTGGGGAGGATACAACAGACAGCGAGGCACCCGCGTCAACTTCAGAGCCTGGCAAAAAGAGCAAGTTTCAATCTCGACTGGCCAAACCTAAAACTAGATTGCCAGTTTCAGGAATTCCCCAAAAATCAAGTTCTCCACATCAGTCTCGGGATTCATCGCAGGAAAGAGAGAAATCGGTAGTCGGTAAAGAATCTGAGAAGACATCTCAGCCCAATGTAGCAACAACACAATCCAAACTCCCACAACGTAAATTATTTGGAACAAAGAGCTTTTTGAATCAAACCTATTCCTGTGAGGAGTCATCTATCTCTGACCACGCAGTAGTGGAAGTGGACACTGGTCGACAACCTGTAACTGACCAGACATTCAATAAAGATAGCCCATTATTGTCAGGGACCGTATCTACCAAGGAACAAGAATCACCATGTTTAATCACAGACATCAAAAATGTTACAGTAGACATAAATAATTCCAATAGTCACAGGGAAACACAGATCACAACGCTGGATAAAACCTATGAAAAACTTACCTTTGACACCAAACTTCACTCTCAGGGCTCTGAATCAGATACACATGTTCCAGATTTGAGTTCTATTTTGGTGGCTGCGGTGGGATCAGAACAAACCACAGAGACAGCTGGTGGGGAACATAGAAAACTTCCTGGAGAATTGAACCTAACTTATGATACTGGTTCTGTGCAGCTAGCCTCCCCCATTCCTGATCTCCTGACCCCATCAGCTTATATGGCTACTGCTGGATCTGATACTGAACAAGAAGGTAGGCTTTTTGTTATACATTATCATATATTAGACTCACTGTGAACTGTTCAAATTTCATCAGCTCTGTTAAAAATAAAAAAGGAAAAATATAGAACTTTTAAAAAAAAATTTGCCGGTAATCATTGCATGTCCAAAATGCTAAAAAAAATTTAGTAGACACTTAAGCAATTATAAGCAGTATATAGCAGCAGAAGTAAAGCCCTAGCTGTAAGGGACTTAAATGCAAACTGCTATCTGTCCAAAAAAAAAAACTTTAATTTTATGAATTTTATCAAGGTGAACTGTTGTCAAAATGATTTGATATGAATGTGTGAATTATACTTCCTATTATTTTATATCTTCAATGATATTGATATTGGAATGTTTAAAACACTGCAAATAGTTACAACTTAGCATGTTGAGAAGTTCATGTTTTTTTTTTTTAACTTACTGCAAAACACAAAGTCATTCCCAATAATGCTCCTTTGGACCGCTTAGTAAACATTGTACTACCAACTGAATGTGACATTTTTAACCTGCTGCAGGAGATTGAGATGTGTAAGAAAAGGTTCTTGTTTGTAATCAGACCACAGTTTATCGTTCTGTGCAATCCACTTCTTTTTAAAAGCATTTCTGGACAATTGATAAAATGGTGTTTTCTACTGCTACTTTTCAATGCATTGTTTATCATGTTGCTAGGTGAATGAATATTGTTGTTGTAAAATGCACAAGTGGCTATAAATGCTACAAAATTTATTGAATAAGTAAAATTGCAAAAAGGCACGTTCTGCTGCCTGTCTTATAACTGAATATAGTTAATACCAAGTTATTATCACTTAAAATATTTTTAGTGCCACATTGATTCACGAGAAGAAGCAAGGCTGAAAAGGTGCTTCTGTTTTATTATGTTTGGGATCAAGTTAAGAAAAAACTCTGGAATAATTCCAACAGTAGCTGTAGAATGTCAGTAGGTTTACTGTGTAAACAAAGTGGTAACAGGCTAGATATCCCAGTTGTACACGTATGCACTTCCAAACCAGTGGAACACATTGTCGATATTTTGCACAACTTCAATGGTGAGCTAACACTGTTACCAGGGTGAAAACATACCTTGATGTGTGTGGAAAAATCTGAAAGCAGAATCCAGTTGTGTGTGCATGCCACTTGTTTTATTTTCTTGAAGAAAAAAACACATTAGAATTTGATCTCAAAACCAATTTCAATTGCCACCTGTGTTTCTTTCTGCAGACTGAAGAGGTTCAGAAAGTACAATCCACCAGCTTGGTCCTCTGTATTTAAAACATTACGCAAGCAACGCTCAAATTAATAAGTATTTTTCTTCTACGTCCACAGGTCCAGCAGGATCAGATGACCCAAGTGGCCTGAGTGTCCTGAAGGGGTCAAGGCTGAAATCGGGCAGTTCTGAGGGCACAGCATCTACTTTGGACAACAGTCTGCAGTTCCTGAAGGGGTCCAGGTTGTTGACAGAAGAGTCTCAGTTGGGTATATTGAAGACTGATGAACTGAACCAGACCAGTCTACTCACAGGTGGTCAACAGCCACAAGAAGATGGTCATACAGAGGGGCAAACTGGTAAGAAAAAATTTTTTTTTAAAACCAATTCAGTAGTCAAGGTGAGTGCATTTGTGTTTGAGTTAAAGTTTCGACAGATCCAGTTGGTAAGTGTGCCTAATTATTCCTTTGAGCAGAAGTCTTAAAAACCAACACACTGAGGCTACATGATCAACTTGCTAACTGGTGAAAAAGTTCAGTTCTGTTTTTATCTGATTTGAAGCTGGTGAGGGGGTGAACTTTTGCCAGTAAGATTCAGTAATATATCAGGTTAAAGTCACAAGAACTTAGTAAGATAGAGGTACAAACAGGTGGGTTATATTATTACAGTAGTGATTTACAGGTGTTTACAGTCAGTTTGCACTCATTATAACATCCGTGTATGATTTAACTCTCTTTTGATGTACAGCAAAATTTGTCTTTGAACCCTTGATCCCCAGGGTACATATTCCCAGGTTCTTTAACATAAGGATTAAAGATCCCCAGTAGTATTTTTTTCATCTGATGATTTATTGATGACTTAATTAGTAAGATAAAGATTGATGTTGCCTTAAAGCGTGTGCAAATTAAGATACTATGGTTATGAACAATTATTGTGATCCTGCATTCTGCAGCTGGGTATACTCATTCTTTACTGTCACTCTTGTTACCTTAAGGCAAAAATGGTATTATGTGCATTACTGAAATAATTGGCATGCTGAATTATGTGTTTTGACAGCATGTATGACCTTGTACATGTAGTTGATGGGTGGCTGTATTTGCACTGTCATGGTCACTTCTAATTTCTCACCAGCAAGCTAGAGTGATAAGAATGATATTAATTAATTATTTCCTTAATGATCTTGACAAATTATGAACAGCTTGTTTTATCTTATAAAAATCTATAGTTTGAATCCATCCACATGCTACAGACAATCCGATGGGAGAAATCTCACACTGTTTTAACTCACTGATATATCTGACAATTTTTTATGCATATTTATAGGATGATTACCTGCATGAAAGAAAAATGCAGCTAAACACCCACATGTATGCTATCGCCATGTGAAAACAATTTAACCACATGGACAGAGTTATGTAGAATTATTTAAATTGATACTTTCAGACACACTGTTCAAAGCCCCACCGAGTGCTGAGGCTGACTTCACACCTCCAATCTTCTCATCAACGCCAGCAGTGTTCAGGATCCCCAGCGCCCCAAAAGCCCCTTTATCCATGACAGATAGTAAAGAGAGCAAGGTGGTCGTCAAACTGTACAGCGACAATTACAATGACACAGGCACATTTGGGAAACAGAATGAAACATATGAAAAGCTGCCAACACCTGAGCCTGGAAGTAATGATAATGTACAAGAAGGTGATGTTTCAGTGAAATCAGATGCCAAAAGGTACGAGAAGGTCACAGGCGGTACAACTTATATAGAAAAAGATACAAAGGTGACAAGGAAGATGGATACAAAAATGACAATGATGACAGATACACAGGAAAATGACCTCACAGATGGCGAGGAAGACACTTGTGAGAAACTGACTGAAATACAAATGGACTTGGTGGACGACATTGACCAGGAATGTCACGACCTTGAAGGTCAAGGTCACATTACAGAAGATGAAGAAGCAGAAATGTTAAGCAGTATGGAAAAGGAGTATATAGCTCAGACTCAGCGACTGAGTGAGGAAGAAACGATGGATGAAGAAGAGGAAGAAGGAAA